TAAAATTTGGCAGGAAGGAGTTTGGGGTAGATGTTGATGAAGAAGCAAGTGATTCCTTGGGTTGAGTAGGATGCTTGGGGAATAAGCAGGGACTAGGGACAAGTAGGTGCCCTCCTGGCCCTTCCTCCAAGGTCATCCTCGGGGTCATCAGGGCCACTCAGAGCCACCTGCATTGCTTCCTGGGGTGAGAACAGACATTGCATCCCTCGGAATGGATATTTCCTACAACACAAACTTACAGTTGTCCTGATCTTTCTTAACAAGTTGCACAGAACATTTCTCAGAGTCACTCAGTTACCTGAAGGGCAGGCTGGTGGCAGCCTAAGGTCATGCCTGCAGCTCCAGGAGGTGCCCATGGGCAGATGGGGTGGGCAGAATCTGGCCGAGTCTGAGTTTTGCAATGGGTGGTATGGGGGCCCTTGGTAGAGGTGGGCATCCTGACATCATAGTACAGGGCTCTGTTAAGGCCGCCGTGGCTGTTGGCCTCCGTACCCCCATCGTCCCACCTCCTGCTCAGCCCCTCCTGGACCAGGTTGCTGGCAGCGCCAGTGAAAGTGTGACTGGTCCGTGGTCACCAACCTTCCTCCCCCTCATTGTACCTGAGGTGGATGGATGAGGATGCAGAGGCCTCACTGTCAACTCTAGGATCTTATTTCCTCCCCAAGCCCCTGTAATCAGCATCAGTGTCCCCATTTCAAGGGTGGAGAAACCAGAGCCCCACAGATATAGGGGCATCAGTTTGTGGGAGGTCCAGAGCTGCAAATGAGCCACCCGTGCCATTGGAGAAATGGCTTCAGGGAGGACAGTTCCAGGCAGCTTTCTGCAGCCCAGGACATCCAGAGCATCCCATCCACTTTTCTCCTGTGCCTTGCAGCACTGGCTGAGGTCGGTGCGGTGGGATGATCCCCACTTCCCAGGCGAGCAGACTGAGACCTGAGACTGGATCACGTCAGCAATTAGAAAAGCTGTGTCCTCAGACTAGAGTGTGGCTGCAGCAGCCCTGGTTTGTGCATTCTTCGAGGTTCTGCTGGTTGCATTCATCTCAGGGCTGCGAGGGCTCGGCTGGGAGCGGCCCCACCTCCTGAGGCTGAGTGCCAGGCTGGCCATCTGCTCTCGGATGGCCTCCCCCTCCCCAGCTGCTGATTCTCACTGGCTCTGACTGATGCAGCTGGGAGAAAGTTCCAGGAAAGAGGTCTTGGCCAGCCTCTGCTGCAGCCTTGTTTTCTGCCATGGGCATTGCCATGTTGCGTAGATGGCTCTGCCAAGATCACTGGGCCGCTGCTCTCTGTTGAGGATGCAGAGGGACGGAAGGACCACTTTCCCTGGCCTTACACAGGGCCCGACCACGTCAGCTCCTTGACAGATATCATCCTTCCTCTCTGGTTCTGTTCTGCACAGTAGCCTGGCGAGCTCCACAAAGCTGAAGTCACACTGGGTCACGGCCCTGTGAAGACCCTCCCCCGAGTGGAAGAGCAACCTCAGGTCTCACTGCTGGCCTGGGGCCTGCGGTGTGGGCACAGCCTGCAGCCTTTCCCGTGGAGTGTGGCTTCTGCCCGCCCCTCTAGGACGCAGCATACTCTGTGCTGGGATGGGCACACCAGGGGCACCCTGTCCGCCTACAGACCACCGCTCTCACTTCCTGGGCTCTGATTCTTGGATGCATCACTTGAGGACCTTGCCTGGCCACTCCCCGGGGTCCTCCAGTGGGGCTCCTGTCGGCCTCCTTTGTGTTCTGGCGCCAGTCCCCATCTAGGCTTGGGTGTGTGTCCTGGGTGGACGTCTGCTTTCTCGCTGGACTGTAAGCTGTGTGGGGCAGGAACAGCAGACCTGTGCTCATCTCCACATCCATGTCCCCAGGGCCTGGTGCTGCCAGGCTCTCAGCCATCTCCTTGACTAAGACGCCGTGGCTGCCAAGCCCGGAGGCACAAGTGGCTTCCTCTCTGTCTTGCGGAGGACATGGGCTCAGAGCCATCGGGCAATGATGTGCCAGGCTCACCTGCGGCCACACTGACGGTCATGTCGGGTGGTTTGCTCTGGGGTTACAGCCTCCCGGTGACTATGATGTGTGTTTACTGCCCATCTGGCTTCTCGGTGCTCGGACCTGGATGGTTTCAGAGCGGAAGATTAATCCCAGTGTTCCACAAAACTCCTAAGGAAATGTTCCCTGGGGAACCACCTTCCAGGGGTGAATATAGATATTCCATCAGAAAACCTGGAGCTGGGAACTGCCCCTTTCCCATAGGGGCAAATGCTAGCAAAAGGTGGGATGCTTGGAAGTCTGGGACCAGATGGGGGACTACGGGGAGGGATGGGAGGAGACAATGGTGGCTCTGCCCACAGCAGGTGTGTGGGGGTCGGGGAGGAAGAGGCAAAGGATTGGAAGCCAGGTGGCACCAGCTCAGGAATGCAGCCCAAGCCGGGGCGGTGGAGGGGTCCTCCAGTCACTGTCCCAGCTGCATTCAGCTCTCTGTGCACCAGCCTGTCTGAGCTGGACACGCAGGACTAACAGACCACGCTTCCGCCCTAGCCGTGCTCGTGTTGGCTGGAGGAGGCAAAAGAAAATGTGTCAATCGACAAATAACTGTAGATGGTAACAGATACTGGAGAGGCCACACCAATCAAGTCAGAAGAAGGCCTTCCTGAGCCAGAAACCCACATGACAGACAAAGCTGGATGCAAAGATGGCGGGGGGGTCCCCAGCAGTAGCGCCAGTGGGCACAGGCCTGTGCACAACCAGCTTGAACAGGCTAGAACCAGCTCACACAGTGGACTAGGCTGTGTCTTCCCATCAGGGCATTTAGTGCCGTGGCATGGATAGCTGGAGAGCAGCTTGGGGAGACCGTTCACACACACCGTGGAGGTGGGCAGACCCACAGGGCCCATGCCTGAGCTGCAAAGTCGGGTACCTGAGAAAGGCCCAGAGCACTGAGCCCGGAAGGAGGGCGGTGGCAGGGCTGTGTGGGGAGCCAGCCCCTCTCAGTTGCATGGCCTGTCCCTGGAGGGCTTCAGGCAGAAGGGCAGCGTGATTTGATTTTACTGTGCCAGACCAAGTCCACAGAACAGGCTCAGGTTCAGAAACCAGTAAATGTGGGAGCCAGAGGCAGTGGCGGGGGTGGAGAGTGTTGATGGATCAGAATTGGGTGAGATGTGAGCCAGGAACCAAGGCGAAACCTACCGCAGCAACATCACACTGGAGTGGGGCCAGGACGGGGTGTAGGGCTGGGTGTGTGACTGGGGTTGGGGGTGGGGTTGCGGGTGCAGGAGGCTGAGCCTGCAGGTACAGTGAGAAGGGAGGCTGTGACCTGTGTTACCTGCAGTGGGACAGCCGTGTCAGCTTTCAGAGATGATGGCAGTGATCTCCAGAGGCTTTGTGCCTCTGTAGACATGAAAACCCCTCAGAACACTCACCCTCATTTCGAGCATAATTGTCCCAAGGTCTGTCCATTGGACCTCAGGGTAGAGGGCGGCTCCATCACCTTCTCTCCACTGTCAAGGCCTGTGGACCACTATCGTCTGTACCCCACAGTCATTAGACAAGGACCTCTCAACCCTGGCTGGCCACAGCCCTGGAGGGGCTCCTCCCACCCAGACTCATTAAGCCCAGAGGTCTGGAGGGTGGGAGGTAAGGACCATGCCTTGGGACTTCTGGACTTCTCGAAGGTCCCCAGGTAACTCTATGGTAGCCACTGGGTTAGAAGGACTTGCAGCAGAGTAAGTGACCACATGTTTTCCATGCATTACCTAGGTCGTGGGTTCCATCACAGGCATAATGGCAAGGCCACGAGGGATTGCTCCTCCTTGCCTTTGGTTCGCATTAACTGTTGTTGGCCTGATCCAGCTGCTGCTGCGGTCCCCAAGGACGTGAAGGGCTGAGCCCCATGGGGCGCTGCTCCTCCTAGATGGGGAGATGATGGCTGGGTTGGAGGTTCCAGCCATGCTGCTTAGCACCAAGGGAAACAAGGAAAATAGCTATGTCCATTTGCCCAGATATCTGTGAGAGCCGACCAGAGGGCATGGAGGATTCTCTTGTGTTTTAGGAAAGCGCAGGGAGGACAGAGGCCAAAAGTGTTTTGGAAGAATGAAGTCACTCCAAGAATAAAGTACAGTGCTGCAAAGACAGCAGTGCCGTCCCCCGGGTTGCACAGCACGGCTGAGAGGAGGTGTGGGAATGGTACAGGCCCTGGATCATATGCAGGGTGATCAAAATATAGGATGCATTTTTAAAAAACTGCTACAGTAGAAGACACACGGCTATGAATCCCCCTCAGAACACCCCCTCACTTCCTGCACACTCATCCCACCGTTCTTGCCACTTTCTGAAGCAGTTCTGGAGTCCTCTTTCGTGAGTGTCTGTAGGAGGTGTGATAAAAAGTACAGTAAATGCTGTTGCCAAGTGCTGTCCGGTGGAAAGGCAGGCTCCTAGAACTACGGTTGTGCGCTCATCCACCTATTCACTGGATCTGACATCGTGCGACTTCATTCTCTCCTAAAGTCCAAACGACCATGAAAGGGGAAATTCAGGACATCGAGGCAGCCAAGGCAGTGCAGCTAATGCCACACACGAAAGATTACCCCAGAACCTGATATGCACCGGGCCCTGCTTAGTGCTGCTGGGCTGGGGTGCATATGTGGCTCCTGCCTTCAGAGAGCTGACCTTGTTGGGAAGCCAGGTAGAAGTGTCCAGAGCTGTGGCACAGTGAGGTGTGTGCGGAGGGCCCCAGTCTCTGAGCTGACATCTGCGGCCTGTGGGCTGTGGTAGCACACTGGAGCCCTGACAGCCAGGGGCTGACAAACTCTGATTTATATATTTTTACCAGCTTGCTGTGTGGCTTGGGCAGTTTACGATGCTTCTCTGAATCTCATCTGTAAAGAAGGAAAGCACACAGTGAGCTCCCAGGGAGGCCAGGATTGGCCCTGGTCCTCTGCGAGGCCAGCATGCGAATGATACCCTCCTTCCTAACATTTAGCCTCCCTAACGGGCTCCCTTCTTACCTCTCCAGGGCTCTGGTCTTCGTGTCGCACGGCGCTGGGGAGCACTGTGGCCGTTATGATGACCTGGCTCGAATTCTGGTGGAGCTAGACCTGCTGGCGTTTGCCCACGACCACGGTGAGTCCCTGGGCGCTGTTGTTGCTGGCCAGAGAGCTCCATTCTGCACCATGTCTGTCCATCTTCTCCATGGCTTTCTGCTCTGTACATTGTTCTCAGAAAAAACATGGCTATCACAACAGGAAAGTATGTCTGACCAGCAGTTTCTGTGGTATCTGAAGCTGAATGCAGGCTGACTGGAAACGTCTTGGAAACCTAGAGTTGGATAAGGTCCCTAAGAACCCACCCCAGGCCACAAACTCATTCTTAGATTTACAGAGCACTGCTTCTCTAAACAGGCTTGGTTTTTTTCTCCCAGAGGACTTCAAATGGATGTGGTGAGGCAGGGCAAGTTCATTTTAAACTGGGCCCAACCACAGGAGTTTATAAAACATCCCAAGCCAGGAGAATGTAAAAGTCTCACAAGGCCATCTTGGGTGAAAGAAAACACCAAACACACACATGCATATAGACGTGTGCACATACACAGATACACGTTTGCATATGCAACATGCACACACACATACCCATATGCACACAAACTTAGACATGCATGTAGGCGCACAGTGTGTACCTACATGCACGCACATGTGAGCATTCATGTGCAGTGTGCACATACCCGGGCACACATGTCCTTGTGTACACACACATGTGCGCACTTGTGCACACACACCTCAAGCCAGCTGATTCTTTGTCATGTAGCAAAGCCCACAGTAGCCATCACAGTACAGTGTTCATTGCCCAAGTTGGTCTGTGGCCTCTCCGTCGTTTTTATGACAGCCCTCATGGCTGCAGAGTCCCTGATGTCATCCTGCGCCTGACAGCTTGAGCTCCCTATGGCTGAGCATGGCATCACCTCTGTAAAATTCTACCATTCCAGCCCAGATCCTGAAGCCTGTCACATCTGATTTGAAAGTAGATAATTAAAGATGTCGCTGGAAAGAGAAGCAGGAGAGCTGTGGCAGGGGCCTGGGAATCCTGTAAAAGGAGAGAAAGCTGTGTGTGAGTCGGCAGAAGCTCACGCATGAGGAAAAGCCGGCTGGGGCATTTTGTACAGAAAGATCTGCAAGTCTGATTTGCCAGGAGCCCTTTTAAAGCCAAATATATATATATATGTAAGTGTCCTTGTGACTGAGAATAGTGAACAGATTCTTTCCTGTTACAGTTGCAGAGATCTTCAGAGCTTTGTGGCTGTCCCAGGAATGTTTCAGAGACCAAGAAATAACGTGCTAGGATTATCCCCGTGGCTTTTACTGCGGGAACTGCATCATCATTCACTTGGGTACTTTTCACACTAAGGGCTGAGACAGGAACTCATTGGTTCTGATCGCATTTGCCTCCATTAAGGTTAGAGGAATGCAGCTCACTGGGCACCTCAGGTTGCAAGTTTCTGCCTTGCATCTCAGTGACAGCCACCTTCTTAGCAGATACACTTGGTCAGATCTGGAGGATTAAGTAAATGTTGTGCTTTACTCTGTCCGATGGCGGCGCTTGGAAAAACAATTTCAAAGGGCTCCTTTTTTAGAATAAAGGGAGAAAAGCAAAACCTCTTCCCCACTTTTAATGGTTCCAGAGTAACAGCTAATGTGGGGAGGCAGGGCTGTCTCGGACCTCCTAAATACAGGGTGAAAGTGGCTCTTGGTGTTTACCTGACTCAGGTTCTTGGAGTGACTCTGTGGAAACCTCTGGTTCTTGCTAAGGGAGGCATCAGATTCAGGAAATGGACCTAGTGGGCTGTGTGGGGAGACTTTTGTGGCCTGCAGATGGGAATGACCTGGGCTGTGTGAGCAGGAGGAAGCAAGTGGGTGGGCTGCCGGGTGCACTGCTTGATGTGGTGGGTGGGCTGCCAGGTGTGGTCCCAGGCCAGCTGGAGAGCAAGGCCTGGGCTTGGTGATGCTTGCTTTATTCCCATCTAGCTGGGGAATGTGACAGGCAGGAGGAAAAGATCGGAGCCCCAAGCTGCTGGTTCTAAGGCTGGCTCTCTCTGCGATGTTGGCTTTTCTGTTCCAAATGGCTTTTGAATGTAAGTGTCACCTTCCCAGGGAAGGTGGGGCATTCACTGTGCCACTTGGAGGTGTGCTAAATCTAAATGCACATGGCTGAAAGCACCACTGCAAGCCCACGGTCGTCCCAGTGCCTTGTCAGCTCAGACCTCCCATAGTCCTCACCTGCTGTGGCTTTATCACAGTGTCACTGTGACCACCACGCCGACATCAGCAAGGCTCAGCCTCAGACACACCTGGGCCTAAGTCCCCTCTCAATGGAGAGTCCCAGCTATCTGACCTGAGCCTTGTTCATCCATCCCAAGCCTTAATTTTCTCATCTGGCAATGGGGCAATCCCCCTTCTTGCCTCAGTGAGGCCCAGCTGGTATGCTGTGTCCCAGAATGGCCACCATCCCAGGTTCTGCCCAGAGCAAAGCTGAAGCCAAAGGGCTGGGACCTGGCGCTCCTGTCCCAGCTCTGCTGCCTCCAGCTAGGTCCTCTCTTGGGCCTTCCAGGCTGCTGAGAAGGTGAAATGAAGCAGTAGGGGAAAACGCTCTACAAAGTAGATGGAGCTGCTGCGGTGGTTTCATAGAGGGTTTCAAATAAATCCTGTATTAACTGATTTGAATCACGTGGGTTGTGGTGCCTGACCACACTCCACTAATGTGTCACCATTAAGGTAGAAAGCGGGGCACTCTGGTTGTGGCAGTCTGGCCATCCTTCTGAGCTTGGTGGGTAGACTAGGGTGGCCAACTGTAGCTTTGGGTTCCATTTTAACCTTTGAGGCTTTACAGAATGACCCCAGGGGTTTGAACAGCTTGCCAGCGGTGAATCATAATGCTCTGAGCCTGTTGTCCCAGATGTTCAGGAGATAGAGGTGGGGAAATCATGACATCAAAGACAGCCTGGGCCACTTAGTAAGACCTTATCTCAAAATAAGAAATAAAAAAAGGCTTAGCTGTAGCTGAGGGGGAGAGCAGCCCTGAGTTTCATCACAGTACTGGAAAATAAAACTCATTAGCCTGTAGCCTTCTTCCCCAAGGGCACTATCTCCAGTCTGACATACCCCTATAAGGAACAGGAAACAGGAAGTTCTGACATAAGAGACAGGAAGCAGGAAACAATGGAGAGGAAGGAGCAGGGCTCCCCCAGGTGAGGGCAGCCATCTTTCCTAGAGGTGCCAGCACTTTGTCCCCTGACTGCAGCTAGCTGCAAGAGACGCAGGGAAGCATCATTTGCTGACTGCTGAGCTGAATGACACAGGACTCTGAGACAGAAGCTGGGGACTAACCCTGGAGGTGGCTCATTTTTGAAGAGTTTATTATTTCCTGTGCTTTCTACTTGATGTGTCTTTCATCTCATCCATCCCTGTATTCTTTCATAAGGTTGGAAGCGATGGTTTTTATTAGCGTCATCAGTAAGTGTTGGTACAAGTCTCTAACTGCGCCTTCCCTCTGAGCAGGGTGTTGTACTGTGAGAATCTCCAGGTACAGTAACTCCTGTCCTAAAGGTAGCAAGACCTGTCTTCCCCAGGAGCAATAAGCAGCTCCTCTCTAAATGTGTAACTTTGTCATAGTGCTTAACTGTGTGGTGTGGTGACTATTCCCTTATGGGTAAGGCCAATCTTAATATGTTATGCATTAGCTTCTATTTCTGCCCCTATGTCCTTCTTGTCATCCATGCACAGCCCAGGACTAAGCAGAGATTTAGAGACCTCACCAGTGCTTGGGGAATGACTAGAAGATAATACCAGAGATTAAACTAGACCAGCATTCAATGAAGACCAGAAATGTTTGAATATAAGTAGTTAGACATCCATATCAGAGGGTCTGCAGGGGGACATTGGAGCAGGGTGGACAGGGTGACTGCTGGTCAGGGAGCAAGAGCGGCCACTAGGGGTGCCTTGGGATGAGCAGGGCTGGTGTGGGAGAGATGCGGCCGGTCGTGGCTGGAAACCCCAGAAGACGGTTTCCTGTGACAGTCTAAATATGGCACAGTGGAAACTGGGGCTTCCCTGCAGGCGGTCCCTAGGTCCCCCAGCTGCTCCGGGTGACTCACTGGAAACCCCTCAGTCCTGCATGACACCTGGCAGCTCCGACTGCAGACAGCGGTGAAGAGGGCTGGGGACTGTCGAGGGGCAGGTCCTCTTGGGAGAGGCCATGGTCAGTGCATCCTAGAACCAGTCATCAAGAATCTGCTGCCCATAGCACCAGCTCTCTGCAGGGCACATTTGGGGGAAGGACCCGCTTGGCGTGCTGAGCCCCAGGTCCTGGGTGACAGCACAGAGGAGACAGAGCACCAGAAAAGGTGCATTTGCTGGGCCAGGACTTCTTCTCTTTTTACAGAGCATAAAGGAACCATCCTCGACTGATTAACAGTGAATTAATCATCTACAAATATTTGAGGGAAAGTGCTAACAGCAGGGTGTGTGTGCATGTGCGTGTGTGTGCGTGTGTGTGTGTGTGTGTGTGTGTGTGTGTGTGTGTGTGTGTGTGTGTGTGTGACACCCAGGGGAAGAAAGAAGAGGAAGTTTGGAGAGATCGGCTGTGGGTGGTGTTAGGTGTGATTCTCCTCGAGGGGACAGAAAAAGAATACTTAGAAAATCCAGAGGAAAAAAGAAAGTGATGATGTATGTGTGTTTTCCACACAGGGAGACAGATTTTAGTCACTGTCCCTTGAGGGATGTATTCTAAAATAGATTGCCATCAGCTAAAAGTAATACATTTTTGTTAGAAATATTTGGAAAATGTGTTGACAATTTTTCTTGCCTTAGTAAACACAGGGGTGGAAATAATCGAGTGGGTCGCCCTTTAATGGTTCTGAGTCCATGGGGGCCCAGCTTGAGTCTGGATGACAGGGAGCCCGAGAGCAACCTGCAGGGGAGAGAACTGTGCCACACCCACTCCAGGCTGTACAGCCCCCACCCCATCTTCCTTCTTTATTCACAGCTAATAAACCTTCAGGGTGTGTGTGTGTGACTAGAGATGGAACCCAGGGCCTTCACGTGAGCTACATCCAAGCCCTTATTTAATATTTT